CAGGGCATTATGGATGAGCAATGCCATTTGGAAGCTCAAGAGGAATCGCTAGAAACCTTTGGTGGACAACCCTTGACGAAGTCCTCAGCTACGATATTTATTTGAATCGAATTTTTTCTCTCTGTGTATTACTTGGGCAGAGGTGGTGTAGTGGCAAGTGGCGCACCTCACACACGCATGGTCGATCCAGGATCAATATCTGCCCATTCCAACCAAGCCTTCCATCCCTCCGGGGTTGGTCAATTGATTCCAGACTCGTCTGCGAGGATAAAAGCATTGTCTCGTACATCGGCTGGTCACCGCAAGTCATTGTAAAGGCCACATACGCACTCATTACGCCACTACGATTCTGAATGGAAGTCGAGTGCGGGGGCACATCCCTCAAACGGGATTGGTTAACGCCCCAAGACTTCATCCTTTACTTTATGTATTACTTGCCATCTCTTTTCACCCGACGAAATGACTATCTCCACGGGATCCGCAGAACAGGATCGAAGGAGAAAGAATAGAGGGCATACATTCAAAAGCGTCATGATAGGATGCATTTGTCGTCTATCTGCTTATCTTTACATAATAATCGTCTATCTTTCGAATAAAGAAATGATTTTTTGAGTTTTGATTTTTTCTTCATAGGGTTGCCTCATAGGTTCCAAATCGCTGTAGGTGGAAATTAGCGGTGTTTAGAGTTAGGTTCACCGTCAGAACTAGAGATAACCTTGGGTTTAACGAATAGACTCTATCCCGAGGAATACCTCTAAATTTTCACATATGCCCAACGAAAAAAAACTGAGTATTCATCTAAGCAAAGGCCAGATAAACAAAAATAACAAAGCTAATCAGTTAGCCGTTGAATATGCTTTCCCATCAACTTTACCCAAGATTTACTCGGTATTCTTTCGGTAAATGTATGACATGAAAATCAGCCCTCTTAACCCTTCAGTAGTGACAAGGTGAAGGTTTGGTAAGGTAGCATTGTGAGGCACTTCATGAATGTCTTCCCGGATCTTCTGAAGCTCCAGTATTACTGGCTTTTTTGAAATACAGGATCGTTTGATTTACTTCGTCTCGGGAGCAGCCATGATTGGAATGTTTCTTGCTTTTGTGTGCTGGCCGGTCTTCGGAGCCTCTACAGAGAGATGACCATTGTTGTCAAGTTGGGTGTGTACAGCATCCAAATCACAGTCCTCAGGAAGAGCCCATCTATGGACGAAGTTGTTCTCCATGTAGCCATGCTCGGCCTTGACTTTCTGATAACTCTCGATAGTGAGGTCACGTCCGCCCAATTGAAACTTCCGTTCCTTTGGCTCGAAGTGTGACACATCCAGAGCAACGAACAATTCTTGTCTTCTTTAATCATCTCTTTAGCGTGTTTTTCTACATGGAGCATCGAATGGTCAGCATCCCTCCAGTATGGCACCATGTCCTGAGTGATCCAATCCATATCACGAATAGCGACCCATTCGCCTGAACAGCCGTTCAGGCGAATGGATCGCTCCTCATCATACGTTCAACGCGGTCGATGGGCCACAGCGCCATTGTCCTCACTGGTTGTTCACAAACTTGGATCCAGTTTCGTGGTCACAACGGTCTTCCTTCCTTCCGCACTAGAAACACTGGTTGATTTCATCGAGTCGGTTTTGAGACAACTGCTCATTATCGGAACGACTCTTGGCGTAGACGATCCACCAGGATACTGAGCAAAGAGTTGAGCATTCTACTCACTGCTCATAACTCAGCTTACTTGAAAAGCATCATGCTCGACATTTTCCTTCTATTCATTAGCAGTAGCATGCAAAAAAGTCAAATGGATTTGTTGAGGGTTTACTTGTGAGAGTCGTAAACATCATTACAATGTCCGCTTCAGTTGTTCTTAACAGAACCGGCCATCGCTCGTTTCACCATCAAAGTAGGTTTCATCTTTCCATCTTTTCCATCTGCTATCGAACTATCTGATCTTCACAGTAATTTTTGAAGGAAATTATTTGAATGGGTTTTAAAACATAGCTACTTGAAGTAGGTCATAAATTGGGGAGAACTGAGGGCAAAAGTGAAAAGGTGCCGTGTTACTTGGCTTGGTCAGCTCTTTTCACTGCTAACAATAAGACTAGGATGATCTGGTGGGAAATCATTTGAGCTGCTATCCCTCGCTCCCATTTGGGAGCAGCAGCAGTGTTTTTATCAAATCCTGTCTTTCGAAAGTTCGAGCGTGTTTTTCAAGTTTCGAAGCAGGAAAACACGATGTAGAAGCTCTTTTTTTGACAATTTTCGGAGAAAAATCTTTGTAAAATGATGATGTTATCCCAGGACGGGATGAGAGAAGTAGATTGAGTCTGACTATGGTAGGAACGTAACAGTTATACAGTTGAGGACCTTTTTTCAAAAATGTAGGATTACTTTGTGTAGGATCAGTCCGATTAAATGTTTCCCGAAGTCATCTCATATCTACTGCCCAGGTAGCTGACCTCCTTGTGAATGCTTGCCTGCTCAGGTTGTATATGGTACAACATACCTTGCAACCTTGGTTTCACATTCAAGGTTAAGGGCAGCATCACCGTACCTTGGGGAAAAAGCGGGATTAAAGAAAGTCACCTCGTGCCTTTTTGGTTCAAAACCTCTACCGAATGGAAGCAAAATGCATGGCGTAGAAGAGACTCAGCCTCAAAATGCCCCCCACTTGGTCTTTTTTGAAAATACGACATTTATGAGTTCGGAACTTGCAATTCCACGCGTCGATTTGTCTACTCTAAATGGTATTAATATGCCAGAAACAGTCGTTTCTAATTCGAACCTTCAGGAACGAAAACTCAGCGAAGCACCTTCTCTCACTATTCCTCCTTCGTTGCATGTTTCCGAAAAAATTTCCAGCGAAGTCAAATTTTCTGGCGTTAGTCCAGTAAAAAAGCTATCGGATGATGGTTGTTATAGAAACGAAGGCTTCCTTGTACATAGTTCATCTGAGAGCTGAGCCTCATCAGGGAATTTTTGGCCGCCATGCAGTTCCTCTGACTGAGTAAGGTTCTCTCCCACCCAGAGCATTCCTGTCATAATTGTTATGGTATGCCATTCATTCTTCTTATCTAACAGCTCGGTAATAATAAATGTTGGTAGGTTCCAGTCGTAGGCATTATTGCACCGGCAATTAGCCTATAACATCAGATTGCCGATGTCGTTTGTATTGGTATGTCGGACTTTCTGACAGAGTCACCATTGGGGTGAGCCTGTTTATTACACTTTTCCTATTCCGTCGTCCTTCCCTCCTCATTTGACGCATGCGTTCCGCGGGGGTGGGCCTTCACGTATTACCTCGTATTCAGCTTATCTCCCAGGCCATTTCTCGAGCTCTTTCTCTCTCGCTTCTGAAATGATTCTGGCTGAACCTCTACGTTCTGCAAGATTAAGGATAGAAGTCATGCTATTCGACATAAACCGCTTTTGGTTCTATTTATTCTTAGTTTTTCTGATATTTCTTCTTGCATTCATCAAAAATGGCTTTCCTTCTGATCGCTGAGAATGTCTTTTCACTGTTATTATCATGCCTCCAGAGCAAAAGTTCGGGAGGACCTGACTTTAAGCTATACAATGAAGGATGAGCTTTTTTGGGCCTCCTTCTTCCAGAGCACTCAGTTGTGGCTAGGTGAAGGAGAATAATTGAGGCCTGTCACTACGGGCATGAAAGTACTCGATAGCCTAATCCTCAGGCGTAAATACCCTCATTGATTAACTTGTTGTTGAGGCCATTATCAAAACCCTCATTATCAGAAGACGCCTCGTATTGATGGAACTGCAGTAAAGGCGAGTTAGTTAACGTCGTGAAAGTCGTCTGGTTGTTTCTGAAAATGAGGACTGCCTCGGTAGAGTGCACTGCTCCACAATTTTGTGAGAAGAACTCATCTTATTGAAGATACATAACAGATCAGGTTCCCCGCTGCTCTAGAAAGATAGAAAGATTGACTTCCGCTGCCATGCCCTCGACCTCCATCCTTCCATGTTTGTATTTGTATGATTTGCTCTGAATTTGATCTGTATAATCTCCTGCTCTGTTCCATCCACAACAGTGGGAAATCCCCTTGACTGATAGTGTCATCTTCGATCCCTTGAAAATCCGTTCATCCAAAACGATTGAGTTTCCCCTAATACAGAAGAAAACAGAAGCAAGCAACTACGGAAAAGTTGTTCCGACAAGTTTGGGGACAGTTCCCAAGTTGTTTCATTTTTCAAGTGCTTTGGGATAGCCAGCATGCTCAATGTAAACACATGAACGCTCTCCATACACGCTGCATGCGTAATTGCTTAATTGCACTTCTGCACTTCTGCAGTCAACTGAATTCTCGTTTCCATCTATTCTCAGTGCATTTACATAGAAGACTTCAGAATAGCTTTGCCTGAAATAGACGCCCATGCGTTTTTCAAGAATTTTGTGGCATTCCCCTGTTCATAACAGTCATTTCCAGCTTGATTTTGCAGACATTCCTAGATGCACGCAGCATATTCACGGAAATTCCATCTCATTTGGCTTTTCCGGAAGCTTGATGTATGGGCCAACTTTCCCATGCTGGTGTATGGGCAGAACTATTAGATCCGTTAGACCTTGATAGGTTCCGTGGTAGATAGAGGTAGATTGAAAATGCGTATCAAAAGCTATTAGGTTGGCAAATAAGTCCTGCGACAAAAAATCTGAAGCGTTGAAAATTTGTATCAACAGTGTGAACAGGGTAGCAAGGGTGATAGACTTGTAGGAAATTCCTCAGGCAATTAACACATAAGTAAATAAGGGCACGCGTGTGGGCTTTCAGACCATTACGGTCAATGAATTGACA